AAAATATGTGCAAGTTTTAAATAATTTTTAAAAAATGGAAAGGTGGGGCAAGAGACACCCATATGAAGGCTGCACAGTAGTAAAATGAACACAAATTAGTGGGGAGCCAAATCTTGCCAGGGTGCTGCTATGTCCTGTGTGTGCTGACCATCTCCCTGATTCGTCTGTGTTGTATGGACCCAAATGATAGAGTGAGGGACGCTGTGGGTAGTGAGTCTATGGAGGACAATCAAAGGTCCCTGAATTTGTATTTAAAGAAAAAGTGTGAGTCTTCACAGAAGAGAAAGGGGAGGAAGTCATGCTAGACAGAAGGTACAGTAAGAGCAAAGGCACTGAGGCATGTGGAAATGTAAACAGGTCAGAACAGCTGGACTATGGTGGCCAATGATGGGAGACGGAATTGGAAAGGAAAGGAAGTTGTGAATGCTGGGCTGAGGGCCCTAGCCTTCCTGCATAGACAAATCAGAGGCTTGGGGGAGGGGCTTGGGGGGGATGGGCAGTGCGGTTAGAGCTCGCCCCTGCCATTCTCTAGTCCCCTAGTCTCCTCTGTTTCCCATCACCAGCCAGAAACTCAGAGAGCAGGGGAGGAGAAGGGGAGCAGTCCCAAATAGCCCTTGAAGACTGGTCAGCCAGGCCTCCTGACCCCAGTCTGGCCCTCTTCCCAGTATGCGAGGCTCGGCCCCCATCCCCAGGCATCCAGACAAACCCCTCCGCCTCCCATGACAAAGAGGCTCGCTTGGAGCCTGGGCAAGATTTGCAAACGTCAAACTTGTAATTACAAGGATGAAATCATCTGGTTCCTTTTAAGCAAACGGGTTTATTGATCCCAACACTGAAGAAATGCTATTCTAGGGAAACTTGCTCCTCTTGGTTTTCCTCTCCCTCTGGGATGGCTGGGCTGGTGGGGGAGGGTAGCAGGGGAGCCAAGAAGGGGGAGAACCTCCTGGGAGGGGAAATTCTTAAGGGCTTAGGGGTAAATTTTACAGTGTAGATAAATTATATCTCAAAAAAAGAATTCTTTAGGGCCCAGGAAACTGCCTGGCGGTTTGGGCAGATGAGTCCCTCATCCTGGACTTGGGCCCTTCTCCATCCCCAAACTAGAAGCTAGGTAGAGCTGGGGTGTTAGGAGCTGTGGCAGCCACTGATTTCCCTTCTTTCCCCTCCCACCGTCAAGTCTCATTTGTGGTTCCAGATCCTATTTCAGCTTCAAGATGGCACAATATTTCCTCAGTAACTGAAAGGAAACTCTTTCCTTAGAAAAAATGTACTAGAGGCTCAGGGGCCTGGGAAGACCTCACCCTCTGTATGAGGCGAGGCAGATGTGGGGAGCTGCCAACACCTCACCTGGATAAAGCCATCCTTTCTGCTCACTTAAGGAGGCAGGATGTCTAGTCTAGGCTTTGACCTTCCAAGCCAACAAAGGACAAACAGATGGGCTCAGGGGACAGGAATGCACAATCATCGAGGTCAAGAAACACATCCTGCCACAAGGCCCACAATAGGATCCCTTCATTCAGCCTGTCGGGGACCCTTTGGGAACATGGTAGGGTGCTCCAGGAGGAATGACCTCCAGTTGCCACTGTCCACCAGCTCGCAGTTCAGCCAGAGAGAGGAGCGGTACTTTCAGCAGCTCCACCAGCGGATGTCTCAGGGCAGAACAGTTAAGAGCCTGGGGATTGCTAGCCCTTCTGAGCATCAGTTCCTTCATCTGTAGAATAAGGTCAATCATACCAAACTTGCAGGGTTATGGTGAGGAGTGAATGAAGATGATATACCCCAATGCCATTTTGTTATCTCTACTGAGTCAAGGTCTTGTCACTGTCCTATGATCACTTATTTATTGTTTCAAAGCCTCTATTTCCTCATCTGTCCAATTAGGACAAGAAAACTTGTCTTAGAAAGTGGTTCTCTGAATTAACTGAGATAAGGGACATAAAAGCATCCAGCTCACAGCTTCACAGGTGAGCCGAACGATTGAGGGTTCCCATTCCCTGCTCAGTGTTACTGCACATTCTCTGCCCATCCATTCAAGATGGGTCAGGGAGTCCCGTAGGAGCAGCTATCCACCCAGGAAGATAGGAAAAAGAGGCCCTGGGCAGGCTGAATCCTTAGGAAAGGACAGATCCAAATGACAGGGCTTCAGAGACAATTCAGCCTGGTTTGGGGTGTTTCTAGGCAAAGAATAGACAGCCACAGGCTTCCATCTATGGACTGACCCTACTAGAGCTGGCTCTTAGCAAACCCCTCTGTGGGGTCATGGCTGGACCAATACATACCCAGTTGGACAGAAACACAGAGTTAAATATACCTGACATGGGTGATATTTTCCGTTATTAATTTCCTTTCATCTAATTTTTAAAATAAGTGAAAAAAACTTGCGCAACAACAACAAAAGGCATACAAAGGTCAGCCGAAGAGATGGCCTCCTCCAGCCTGCGGCTGGTTTCCCAGTTGTCCTGGCTGGTTGGATGCCAAACAATGCCGAGTGGGTTATCCTGTGGCCTGGAGTTGCCAAAGGCTGTCTGTGGTGCTGCTGTTCTGGATCTGCCTGGCAGGCTTTCTCAGCCCTTTCCTTCAGGACATCATTCCCCACCCCCATGAGGCTGACGGTTCATGTACTCTGCCCCGTTCTGTACTCCCACCCCTCTGCCAAGATCAGCAACAAGTTCATGGCCCTACCTGGACACACCGAGGAGTAAGAGTGCTGCCTTGTGGATCATTCTTTAGAGGCAGAAATGGAAAAAATTTTTTTTAAAGATTTTTTATTTATTTACTTGACAGAGATCACAAGCAGGCAGAGAGGCAGGCAGAGAGAGGGCGAGGAGGAAGCAGGCTTCCCACCAAGCAGAGAGTCCGATGCGGGGCTTGATCCAGGATCATGACCTGAGCTGAAGGCAGAGGCTTTAACCCACTGAGCCACCCAGGTGCCCCGAAATGGAAAATTTTATACTAATGTCTACCTTAAAGGAATATGAGGGTGTCGAATGGTGTGACATGGGATATACTATCTGAGGCTGCCCATCCCAGTTCCCCTAAGTGCTGATGGGAGAGCATGTGACATAAGCTGGCCCATGTCATCATATCAGCCTGCACGTGGTGATTTGGTAGAAGGAAGAGTATGTGACACAGACTGGGCCAATCCAAGTCCTTCCCAGAAATTTTATGACTTGGAGAAGTGGCTGCTCCCATCCTTTGCCAGGAAATGGACACCATAGAAGGGTGCTTGAGAAAGGTAAGCAGGTGAGAAGAAATGGAAAAACGGGGGGGGGGGGAAAACCAGGAGACCATCCCTCCCTCTGTGTGATTTATTTACTTAAAATAAAATGAACCCCTTTCTACCTTTAAGTTTGTTTGAATTGGGTTTCTGTCACTTGCAATTGAAAGAGAACCGAAGCGGGTGGGGGGTGGGGGAGTCAGGAGAGGGGGGTGGGGTTATGGACATTGGGGAGGGTATGTGCTATGGTGAGTGCTGTGAAGTGTGTAAACTTGGCGATTCACAGACCTATACCCCTGGGGATTAAAATATATGTTTATAAAAAATAAAAAATTAAAAAAAAACTAGAAAAAAAAGAAAGAGAACCGTGGGACTATTTAGAGATAGATGGAGGCCCAATGGTAGTACTTGGTGACATCCACATCTGTACCCTTTCTATTTGTGCACACTCATATAGTCACACAGGTTTGATGTGGGCCAGGCAAGAATGCCCTTGGAGAGGGTTGATTCTATGTTTGCGATTCAGAAAGTGTGTTTGTTAAAACCACCAGCTTACAGGTTTGACTTTGCTGAAAACTCCCTCCCTGACCTTGGGCAATTGATCCATCTCTGGATCTCAGTTTGGGTGACCAACCATCCCAGTTTGCAAGGGGCTGAGTGGTTTCCTAGGACATGGGACTTCCACTGTAAAACCAGGACAGTCTCTGGAAAACCCAACACTTGATCACCCTAGCTCAGTTCTGCATCTGCAAAACTGAGATTGAACTAAGCAGGGGTAGGAAATTCTGCCAAATCCTGAATTCAGGCCAGCATTGTATCCTCATAGTCTTTTGCAATATGGCCAGCTACTGTCAGTCAGAGTTGGCGCCTATTTGCCATCCTTGCACTGAGTTTTTGATACGCTGGAATTTTAAGAATTTATTGAGGATCAACCTTTAGTCAACCTCTGCCATAAATCCCATGTCAAACTCTCTCCAGTTGGGCCAAATGACTTCCCTAAAACTTGTGGAACTTTTTTAGGGTTTCATTGCACATGTGGGTAAATAGATGGACTGGCATTAGGTTTACATACAATTCAGCTTTTCTTCTTTGGAGACTTGTTTATTGAGTGCTCATTATGTGTTGGACTCTCACGCTAGCCCTGAGAGCTTGTGTCTGCATTTTGCAAATAGGCAAACTGAGGCTTAGCGTCCAGGGCTCATTTTCAGGCTCGTGTAAACAGTGGAGTGAGATCCCAGACAAGTACCGTCTGACTCCCAACAGCTTTCCACCACGATGTGGATTCAGTTAGATTCTGTGGTCTCTTATCACCTTTAGTCTTTGCTAGGAGCAGCCTACATACCTCCCCGTCGGTTTTGGGACACAAAGTCCCCAAGGACCCAAGTTTCTTCACGTTCAGGTGACAATCTGGGGTCACTCCGAGCAGCTGAGGAGCCCCAAAGTTCCATACAGTCGACAGAAAGGACCCGCGCGGGCCGCTCCCCGTCTCTAAGGTCCGGGCAGATGCCCGCAGAGCGGGTCTACACAAATCAGCCCTCGGGCAGCTAAGGGAGCGAGAGGGCCGCGCAGCGGGAGGAGCTCTGGTTCGCCGCAGCCCAGCTGCCCCGCAAGCGGGCGGGCGGCGCATGCGCGGCGCGGGTCGCAGAGTTGTGAATGGTGCGTTTTGTTTGCCGGAGTTTGGGGCGGGCGGGCGCGCGAGGAGGAGGGGTGGGGCCGACCGGGGCGGGGCGGACGGGCGGGCTTGCGAGGTGGGCGGCGAGAGGAAGTGGCGGCGGCGGCGGCGGCCGGGGGCGGCGAGTGCTGGGCTAGCGCGGGCGGTAGGCAACGGCTAAGGCGGCGGCGGCGTGGGCTGGGCTCGAGCGGGCGGCGGCATCTCAGACTCCCGGGAGCGGGAGCCCACGCGGGCGGGCGCCTGAAACAAAGGAAAGCCAGAGTCAGGGCGCCGCGGGTGGGTGGTCAGTCGGTCAGCGTGAAGCCGGCCAGCGGGTGTCGCGCAAGCCCGGAGCCCGGTCGGCCGGCGCGGCCTCAGGGCGGGAAGATGCCGCGCGTCGTGCCCGACCAGAGAAGCAAGTTCGAGAACGAGGAGTTCTTCAGGAAGCTGAGCCGCGAATGCGAGGTGAGGCAGGCGGGCGGCTTGGAGGCCGCAGCGCGCCCCGAGTGGGCCCGGGCGGAGAAAAGTTTGGGCGGCGCGGCCCCGGGCAGCCCGGCGGAGGTGCAATCTCGCCCGGGCAGCCGCCAGCCCGCAGACTCTGCTTGCCCTTATCTGCGCCGCGCGGGGCGGGCGGGCGCGCAGGCGGCGTCGCGGATTTGGCTCCTGATTTCGGGCCGTCTCTGCCTTGCAGATTAAGTACACGGGCTTCAGGGACCGGCCCCACGAGGAGCGCCAGGCGCGCTTCCAGAACGCTTGCCGCGACGGCCGCTCGGAAATCGTAAGTCGGCGGGGCAGGGGCGCGGGGGGCCCGGGGCGCGGGGACCGAGGCGCGCGCGGGTCACTTGTTGCGCGGGGGCCGCTGCGGCCCAGGCCGGTTCCGGACCGCGCCGCGGACGCCGCGACTCCCGGAACTGAGCGGGCGCCGTCTCACTTCCTACTCGGGATTCAAAATGCGAAACCAGACACTGGCGGGCCGCGTCCTCGCGGGGAGACGGTTCCCTGTGGCTCTCTGCGGGCTGGTTGTGTTTCCCAGACGCGGCTCGGCAAACAGTTTGCCGCGAGTAGAACTCACACCCGAGCCCAACTAAACAGGGAGAGGTCTTCGTACGGGCTGTGTCACTCATTAAGGGGTAGGGTATTTGTAAGGGAGAAAACACCCATGCGGAAAAAGAATGGGGCTTCATTCAAAGATCTGATTCCTGGGCGAGAGTCAGTTTCTCAGGACGCTAGGTTTGTTGTTAAATCTGTATGTGAAGCTGTTTAACCGCCGGTATAGCTGAGAAGCTTTATACCAGTTCTCTATTGTCCTAATAGAAACAAACAAGCCCTGAAGACTGAGCCATCTTATTTTCTTAGAATGTTAAGGCTCAGAAGAATCAGAAACCATCATCTTTTTTCAAATCTCAAAAACGTATCCCGTTTAGTGCCGCAGTTCCTGAAGAATCGCATGGGTTTGTGAAATCCACAGTTGATCTTGAGGCCGTGTTTTAGGTGGTGGATTCAGTGCTTCACCTTCACCAAACCTTACCTTAGGGGAAAAAAAGCTCAAGTGTCTCATCATCTTTTTGGTTTGTCTTATTGGAGGTGCTAACGAGGGGGGAATGAAAAAGCCAAAGATAAGTAGGAAAAAGCTAAAGAAAAGAGATCTTACTAATTAAAAAACAGAAGAAGTGGAAGTGCTGTCTAATGGAATGCAGTTATCTACTCTGAACTGGGCCCATTGCATTTGCAGACTTGAAGCAATGGTGGAGTTTGAATTTGGGTTAACAATAGGAGGACGTATTGGAACATTTGCTCCCCCCACCCCTTATGGAGAATATATCTTATTGAAAAACAATTCACATACCATAAAATTCTCCCTTTTCATCACCTAAATCAAATTTATTTTTAAGAATATTTTTTCTATTTAAAATGAAGACTTTTTAGAACTGTATTACAGATCATGTGAAGATACTGGCTAAATTTATTAGGAGCTCTAGAATATTTGGTCATTAGTGCCTGTTATGAAAGTAAAACACTTCCAAGTTTCTGAAGTAATTATAATAGTTACATGATTAAAATGCCTAAGACATACTTTCCGTTTTGGCCTGAGTGATAGAAAAATCATTCATTAGTTGATCCAGTGATGTATTATTCTTTGTCTGGGCTTCCTTTTGCAAAAGGTGGGTGGTATACCTATCCAGTGGATTTCCTGGAGTTAATTGATGTAAATGTGAAAGATGAGGTACAAAATACTTCCTGATATTTAGAGCTGAGGTGTTTTTTGGGGGAGGACTTATAAAGTATAGTTATTAGGTTGTTTTCTGTCACATCGGGAACTTTACTGAGTATAATTGTGAATTGGGAGTATAATTTAACCCACAGTAGAGCTGAATTGCTATATTATAATATTACTATAATATTATAGTAGTGTTATAGGTTGCTAGTATTTATCATAAGTTTCTTTCCAGGGATAAATCAGACAGACTTTTCAGGCCTTTCTCTCTTCCAGATATCTGATCCTATGAATTTTAATAAGTTCTTAATACATGACAAGTATTAAAAGTTAAAGGAGGGTAGATTGAGTTCTGTGTAATATTCTCACTTAATATAGCATACATGTCTTAATTTGTTGAATAATGTAATTATTTGTAATTTGGGAAGGAATTTCACATTTCCTCCTTTCTCTAGCCCCCCCCTTTAATTCAGTATTCTTCACATTTAACTTACAGGATCCCTAGCTCCTAGAGGGTGCAGACCACATTAACTCTGGTGTATACATTAATATACTCCCCTCTAAACAGGTACTCTGCATAACGTCTTTTGTATCATAGCTACTTGATTAATTGAATTTAGAGGTTACTTAATATAATGCCTAAAATTTGTCTTTTTAGTTAGGAACAGGCTGCGGTTTTCACTTATTTGGTTGTGGAAAATAGATGTGGAGAAGGTATTATTTTGACTCTGTTTTGACAGCAGCTATATACAATAAAAATATGTGTAATTACCATAACTGTTATCAATCTCCCCCCTCCTTTTTACTCTTTTAATTTTGAACAGTTCCTTAGTGTATCATTGAGGCTAAAGAATTTATTTTGTATTTAGATAGATGTGATCATAACTATAAAACGTACCCAGACTCCTTATCATAGCATGAATAAAAGTGATTATGAGTAAGGGGGAGAATCTCTTTGGTCTGTTTTATTCCTTTTGTAAGTTTTATTGTGGTAAGAGTGTCGGAGAAGTCTTCAACACTAATGGTAAAGAAAAGAAAAGAATTCAGGTATGGTGATGACTGTGACAGCAGTAAAAACTATATATTTTTAGTCCTGAAGATGGAAGGGTAGAGGTATGTTGAATTGGCTTAAAGTGTGTTGTTCTGCAATTTGTGAAACCTGTAGAATAATCACTGGGACAATCTGGAAGTCTTCTATAAAGACAATGATACCAGTGTAAGCATTTTTGTGTTTTTGAACCGAACAGAGTTTTCCCAGTTGTTATGTGTGTGTAGATATTCCATTAGAAAAAGAGTTCTGTGGTCAAATTTGTGAAATGCTATTGTAGAATGATCTGTTTTTACCACTTCTCCTCTCTCAGAGAGAGGGATCTTGATGAGATAAAGGGCATGAAGTGATGAAGCAGGAAATCTCTTCTGAGGTTGGTCTTCAGACAGGAGGTGAGGTAATGAGATCTGTAGATTGTTTTTACTTGCACAGAGCTGATTTGGGGTACACAGGGAGTGGAAGGATTTGTTACTAGGTGAATACTAAAGAAACATGCCTTGGGGATTTTGACCTAAGGCATTCATTCATGGGCTGAATCTCTTATCTGCCACCACTCTACACTGAGAATTTATTTTATTATCTAAGGCTGAAAAAGTTAGCTCTCTTATCCAGCTCAGAACTATTTCTCTTATTTAGCAAATACTTAAATGGCATTTACATGGTACTATTACAAGCACTTTACAAATACTAATTAGTAGGGAAACTGATGTACAGCTAAGTAAATTGCTTCATCCTACAGCTTAGGCACTGTGCCTTCTAGAGTCAGCTTTTCAATTTAACTATTGTTGGTTCATTTCACTATGCTTGATTGTTTTTTAAACTTGGTATTAATAGGGAAAGATTTTTTTTAAAGGTTAATGTTGTAATATTGATGTTTTTTTCAGTCCCCGTTCATGTAAAATGCCACAAGAAAGAGTATCCCTGTTGATTAGGTAAATGGCATCAAAGATTTCTTTAGAGATTTAGCAGTTAGGTTGGCAGTTGTACCTGCAATACCAATAGTGGAAATAGGAAGAATACATTTTTGGAATCTAAGCTGTTAATCATCAGGGGTACTAGTGGATGGTTCAGTCAGCTGATGGCTTTAAACAAATTGCCCAAAATGTGAACCCCTTGCTTTCAGATGAAGACTATTTGATTGGAAACAAAGTATGTTGTGGAACTTTAATTAGTAAAATAAAACAAACCAAAACCTCTCATTTCAACAAAGAAAGTTTACATTCAGATGATGAAAAATGTTTCAGGGTTGGTTTTTTTTTTTTTTTTCCAAAATGCTTTTTTTTGCTTCTTTCTGAATCTCCCTTTGGAAGAGATACAATGCTAATTCCATTTTTTACTTGGAGGAAATGTAGTTAAATTGCTTAGGGGCTACACAGAACTCTTTATTGAAATGGCTTTAGATTGTTCTGTCTGTTGAACCATACATCCAAATCTTATTATAAATATTAGATGAATACTCTTTTATATAGTCAGATCCAGTTCTCCTAAAGTTAAATTTCAGAAAATGAATATTTTTTAAATCACCTAAGGTTTTAGAGAGATAACTACTGTCACATCATATTGCTAATGTATCATTTATCAGAAGACACAGTCCTGTGTGTTTTTAACATGGGCTTGAGAACGCAGTATTTCATTAAACAAGGGAAATCAAGAGAAATTAAAATGTCCCATTTATACAACTTGAAGTTGTGGTATGCTTTAAAATTCAAAATGTATAGATCTTTAGTGATTTTCACATTTAAAAATAGAAGTTTTTAAATTCAGAGATGATGTCTTCTGGTTAGACATTAGCAATGCGAGATCCTAACGTCAGCAAAAAATGACCTGAAAGAAAGTATTGATTCCATGTCTGATTTTATATTTAAGCAGCCAATGGCGAAGGTCCTCAAAATGGAATCAGATGTTTGTAACTTAATACTTAAGAAAAATGATGAGTGCATGTTTTTTTACTTTTAAGTATTCTCAGTGCTGCCTCGCTTAAGACAGAAACTGATGTAAAAATAAATGACTGCTTGCATAATTTATGTAATGTCCTGCTCCTGATCCTGTTTGTATTGATTTTTCTAAAAGGCTTTTGTGGCCACAGGAACCAATCTGTCTCTCCAGTTTTTTCCGGCCAGCTGGCAGGGAGAACAACGACAGACACCTAGCCGGGAGTATGTCGACTTAGAAAGAGAAGCAGGCAAGGTAGGAAACATTTCTTTGCAACTTGAAATACTGTGGATTGTTTTATTAGAGATCATTGGAAGATTTACAGCTTAACGAAGAGATCACAGGTCTGATTATACACACATATGGTCAGGTGTGTTTTCATATTACAAGGATGTAATACGATTTTTTAAGTAACTCAATTTTTTTTATGTCATTCCATTACTAATTTCATGTATATAATATTCATTATAGAAACTTCTAGCCCTTAAAGAGTAGTGTGCTTTCTTACATGTAACATTTAAAACTTACTTCTTTTGAAAGTATTGACAGGATATATTTTGTTTTGCTAACCTAAGTGACTACAGTGCTTTAAAAAAATAAAATCAAGAGAAAAATGGGAAAAGGCTCTGTAGGCATAATTTAATAATATTTAGAAATAGTTCATGGGTAGCTTTCTACTTCTGTTAATACTGCAAATTTAATTTTCATTAAAAAATAGTGTGAAAACTTGAACTTGGAAATAATTTTTTTGTTTTGAGGAAAAGCTGGGAAAACAAATTGATGCCTTAAAATTTTTATGTTGGAAGTTTAGGTTGAAGATATGAAACGTTTAAACTGAGAGCTCTATTAAAGCCTAACTTAAATGTATTACATAATTTTGGTGAAATTTTAGTGAATAATGGATTGGTTCATCTTTTAATGTAGAAGTTGACTCTTATGGAAATAAAATACTTAAAAATATTTTTTGGCCTTATTTTATGCTCAGTATTTCTCCTATTTCCTTTGTGTTTCTATGCCTGTTTTTATCAACTTGCTCACTTACTCTTCTAAGTGTTGTCATGAATACCCTAACTTCTCACTTTACTTGCAAAACATAATACATAAATAATACAAAGATTTTTGTATGAGCCTGTATTAGGAAAAATATTCCTGGTTTTATATAGATACACAATGAAGTTTTTTGTTTAAACTTTAGGACATAAGATGGGTTGTTTGGTTTTTTCCTTAAGATTTACTTATTTTAGGGGTGCCTGGGTGGCTCATTCGTTGAGAGTCTGCCTTCGGCTTAGGTCATGATCCCAGGGTTCTGGGATCTAGCCCCGCATTGGGCTCCCTGCTCAGTGGGAAGCCTGCTTCTCCCTCTCCCACTCCCTTTCTTGTGTTCCCTCTGTTGTGTTCCCTCTCTTGCTGTGTCTCTCTCTGTCAAATAAATAAACTCTTTTTAAAAAAAGATTTATGGGGCGCCTGGGTGGCTCAGTGGGTTAAGCCGCTGCCTTCGGCTCAGGTCATGATCTCAGGGTCCTGGGATCGAGCCCCGCATCGGGCTCTCTGCTCAGCAGGGAGCCTGCTTCCTCCTCTCTCTCTACCTGCCTCTCTGCCTGCTTGTGATCTCTCTCTGTCAAATAAATAAATAAAATCTTTAAGAAAAAATAAAAAAAGATTTATTTCTTTGTTATAGAGAGAGAGGGAAGGGGGAAATAATCTCAAGCAGACTACCAGCTGAGCAAGAGCGCTACCCAGAGCTCAATCTCACAACCCTGAGATCATGACCTGAGTCAGATCCAAGAGTCTGGTGCTTAACTGACTGAGCCACCCATGTACCCCAGGGTTTGATCTTCTGTGGGTGACAAACCAACTAATCTTTGGAGAGGGAGAGGGAAAATAGATTATAGAATTTTTAAAGTGCGTAATAAGGGATTTGCTTTTCTATGTATTAGCTTGCTTGGAAGATTAAAAGCAAATGTTCCAAGTTTTACTATTTTGTAATTCTTATATATAAGGAAGAAGTTGGGAAGTCATTGTGGGATTATGCTTTTTTGGTCTGTTTTGTGCATGTATGTGTAAGTGAATGAAGAAATTATTTTTCTCCTTGTTCAAAACACTTTCTTAATGTTTATTTAACATGGTGGCTCAGATACTACAGACATAAACCAAAAAGTTTTTTTTCTCAATTTTAATGCTAAACTACTTTAACACTTCAAAGTGCACATCTCAATGTTACTCAAGTCTTCCAGTATTCAATAACTAATAAATGGGTGTTAACTCTGCTAGAAAGTATGTTTGTTTAAATTAATGTAATGATAACTGTTTACCAGATCGAAGACCAGATTACTCTTGGACTTAAGCCATTGACATTTTTTTAGTTGCATGACCACCAATAACAAAAACTTTGTATGACTTTAGTGTTTAGAGGGTATGTTTTCTTTTTTTCTTTTTTTTTTTTAATTTTATTTTTTATAAACATATATTTTTTTTCCCCAGGGGTACAGGTCTGTGAATTGCCCGGTTTACACACTTCACAGCACTCACCATAGCACATACCCTACCCAATGTCCATAACCCCACCCCCTCAACCCCCCTCCCCCCAGCAACCCTCAGTTTGTTTTGTGAGATTAAGAGTCACTTATGGTTTGTCTCCCTCCCAATCCCAACTTGTTTCATTTACTCTTCTCCTACCCCATTAACCCCCCATGTTGCATCTCCTCTCCATCATATCAGGGAGATCATATGATAGTTGTCTTTCTCTGACTGACTTATTTTGCTAAGCATGATACCTAGAGGGTATGTTTTCAAATACACCTGGAAAATTGATAGAATGGACATAAGTGAGTTATCAGGAAACTTATATTTTATTAATATTTATTTTAGAAATTTTTCTCTGTAGAAGGCCATATATCAAATATTTTTAGTTTTGCAGGCATGTGGTCTGTGTGGCAGCTGCTCAAGTCTGCTGTGAGAGTGGAAAAGGAGCCATAGACAATATGTAAACAAATGAGTGTGGCTGTGTTCCAAGAATAGTAACAGTGGCAAACTCAGTATCTTTGCCTCAGATTTAAATCTGCAAACGTTTATATGTAGATCCTATACTTTCTAAATACACTTTTTCAACACCTGTGCTATATCAGTAGGATCCAGAGGAAAGGAAAACATGTTAAGGCACAAAAACAAATAGGAAACTGCTAGTATATTGTTCTTTTCCAGTGGGATAAAGGATACCAGTGAATTTAGACAAAAGGTACTGACCCATGTTTTCTCAACCATGGAACTCCAAGCTATGGAGTCTCGTATTTTTCTTACTCCTTTTTTATGGTTCTCTTTCTGATAGTTATTAGCTTGTATTTCTGTCCCTCCAGGACTAGAAGCAAAGAATAATCAAAGGGATTTCTCCAAATGTTAATAGTTTGCTTCTGCTTCATATTTTGGATCTCAGATCTGCATCTTTTCTTCCACATGTTCTCAGCCTAGTCACTTTCTGAAGCAGCTTAGTTCTCTTCTTCATTCACACCCAACTTTGAGGAAACTACTGTTAAGGCTTTGGAGTTAGGCATAAGTAAGTCCTGGCATCATTCACCACTATATAACTTTGTGCAAGTCACTTGACCTTTATGGTCCTCAATTAGAACATGAGGTTAATGCATACTTCCCAGGGTTTCCCTACTGATTAAATGAAATAGTGGATGTAAAGTGCTTAGCCCAGTACCTGACACAGTTGCTGAAAAATGCATTCATTTGGAAGGTTTTTGTTGGATACCTGTTGTGTATACTGAGCATTGTCCTAGGCATTTGAGATGCATCAGTGAACAAAACAAAGATCCATCCCTAGAGATTGTTTTATGGAAGGAGTGGAGGTTAGACAGTATTCAAAATGAATAAGAATAAGGGTGGTCAAGCACCAGAAATGTTTGCAGTTTTAAATAGGTTGGTCTGGGTAAAGAAGGTCATGTTCGAACAGAGACCTAAAGGAGGTTAGGGAATGCTGAGCCATGTAGGTATCAGGGGAAAGACAGAGGGTACAGTCACTGTGAAGGTCCTAGAGTGTGAGCATATTCTGTGTGTTTGATAAGCATCAAGCAGCCCAGTGTGCCTGGAATAGACTGAGCAAGGAGGCGGGTAACAGGAGATGAGATCACGGACATAACAAGGAGCCAGTTTATGTGACCTCACAATCACATGGATTTTTATGGTGAGTGAGATGGGGAGTAGTTTCAGGGTTTTGAGCAGTTGAACAATATGATCTGCCTTGGGTTTTTGAAAGGATCACTCTAGCTGCTGGGTTAATAATAGGCTGTAGGAGGGCAAGAGTGAAGTAGGGAGACGAGTTTGGCTGTTGCTGTGATCTTGGCGAGAGGCTAGGGTAGTAGCAGTGGAGGTGGTGAGGAGTGATCATAGTCTGGTTATATTTTGAGATAGAGCCAACAGGATTTGCTTATGGATTGGATGTGGGGTGTGAGAGTCAAGAATGACTCCAGCGTTTTTGGCAAGAGCAACTGGCAGTATGGGATTGCTGTCATCTGAGATAGGAAAGACTGTGGGTGGAGCAGTTTTGAGGAGCAGTTAAGGACGTGTGTGTTTGTGGTGGTGCTTGTTAATGCACTTCTGTTTTCTCACCGCCCACCCTTTACTTCGTAAGTTAGGGCACTGCTTTCTCATAAGTGATTCTTGGTCTGCTTATCCCAAAGGTTCAGTGGCCCGTTAAAAAGAATCAACTTTATCGAAGTATACTTTACATACACTAGAATGCACCCATTTTCATTGTATAAATTTGAGTTTTAACAAATGTACACACGCATGTAAACACTACCCACAATCAAGGCAGAGTCTCGGTCACCGCCAGGAATTCCCTTGTGCCCTTTTACAGGAGTGTGGGAGTGGTTTGACTGGATGGTTCTGGCTCAGGGCTGGGACTGTGCAGACTCTGAAGACTTGACTGGAGCTGAAGAATCCACTTCTAAGCTCACTCACGTGACTGTTCGTAGGTGGCTTCACTTACTAGTCATGTGTGCCTCTCCACAGAGAGAGAAACAGAATGAAGTCACCGTGCTTTTTATGACCTATTCTCCAGTCACTTGTGTTTTACTCTTCATTAGGAGGGAGTCACTAAGTCTAGCCCACATTTGACAGGGGAGGAGGAGTATTTATTCACATACATGGGTGTGAATACCAGGAGGCTGGGATCATCGGGGCTATCTTTGAGGCTGGCTACTGCAATATTCACTTAAATTTAGTGAATTCTGAAAATATTGGAATGCTGATAG